TGATAACAAGCGGAGCACCTCTTTTTGAGTAGCTCTAACTACATAAGATAACCATCTGAATGTAGCGGTCATTTCGATTTCAAGTGCTCACTTCTCTAGGCTGATTCATTAGAATTGTTGTACTGAAGTATAGCACAACGCATGGGTTGCATCATGGATTACATAAAGGCAAGTGGATAAAACCTCGTATCGCCATTTTGTATTTCGAATAGATGAGCCACTATTGTGATTCCGGCCACGAAAACGAAGCAGGCAGTGAAGAACACTCAATGTTCTGGCGATCACGCTGTAGCCCTCTCACTGCATGAAGTCAATAAATGTATGGTAGATGCTGCACAGTCTGTCGTGAGGATCAAGCTTGAGGCTGGCTGTGACTCTGTAGTTAGAAGGGACTCCGTACAGTGCGTAGCTAGGCGTCGGGGACTCTCCCAAGTCCCGTTTTTCCAATTTTCAAGAATTATGCTTACTCGTAATACCACATTTTAAATTTTCCAGCCCGGTTTTCAGAAAATTCGATGATGCTAGCCAGGCACAGGAAAGGCCTTAGGAGCCGAGATAGTCTTGTTCCTCTCTAGGGACAGTTCACGCGTTTTGCTTCTAAGTGCTCAGTCTTAATTGTAACGCCGATGGATTGCCGGATAGCGTGAGAAAAAGGTATTGGGCCGTGCACACTTATAAACTCTGGGCAGCAAAACGATACTGAGTACAAGTCTACTCCAGGTGCTCACAGGCATATAAAGCTGGTATCACAATTAGCGACTGCAATTTCATAAGAAGATGCGCTTTTGCATATCCCTATGCAAGCACACAGGCAAACTACAGAAGAATGCTGAGCAATGAATAGACCATAAACAGTTCAACATAATCGAAGGTTGCAACGCTGCAAAGAATCATACAGGCGAGCAACTTTTAGCTGAGTCGGCAACACAATCAGATCATCCCTGCGTTTGGTGCGAATGGAGGACATAAGGGCGAGAAAGCACCACAGTCAATGGGCAGTAGAGGAGGAGGCACACAACGAAGGCAGCTGAGAACGTTGGCCTTACCACTACAGTGGCAGCGTTGGGGAAAAGAAAAAGAACAATGGAAGATTCTGCGCTACAGACTCGGTGTGCATCGGCGGAGAGCAGGAGACAACGGGCCGGTGTATTCATCGACATCAAGTTTATTGCCCTGCAATCCACCTACAATTGGATACGGCGAAACATACACAGCATATGCCAAAGGAAGAAATTGAGGTGGCGGTATTTCTACGCGCAGTTCTTACGCGGAACAACTAGGATGCAGGAACCAAGCCGACATTGCGTCATCAGTTACAACATGCACGCAGGAATTCAGATGTCTCCATGGTCCACTGCAGCGGCATCATCTCAAACTGGCTCTGTCAAAATTAGATAGACATGTCCCTCTACGGCCCTGTGGGAACAGACAGGGAGTTTTTGTTTTTGCAGTCGTAACTCAAAAGAAGGCAGTCAAGTGTCATGCTCCCCTTTACGCCTAGGTGGCAAGAACACGAATGAGCAGTCAACGGGGTCCTGCGCTGTGCCTACATGTATAATGTTTGTGAACGGTTCCGGATTGTTTGTGAGTAAAAATCACTTGCGAAGAAGATTGATGTGTTGAGTGAACGTCCAGCTGTGCTTGTTCACATAGTGCCAGCCCGTTGCACCGTCACGACTAACACGTCTCAGTGCTCTCTGGCAGGCTTCCTTCCAAGTTTCGCAAGTTTTGTATGGCACCAAACAATCTCAGGCTTTAGAAAGAGGAGCTACCTAAGGATTTTTGAGAGTCTTGAGTAGGAGCCAAAAATTCACTTTTTTTTGCCTCGACACTCTTGATTGAAGAGCATGGTGACACATGAAACAGTGTCGTGCATGACTGGACTCACCGCTTCCAATATTTACACACCTAAGCGCTTCACTGAGAGGGACATCCCGACAAATCATGCGAACACCCCTTAAAGCCACATAATTCGTCCTAAGTCATGTTTCTAGTCCCTTTTTTCCACAAAAAGGAGACTATAGAAGGCTATAATGTTCTGCCTCGATCTGAGCCCCTTAGGTGGGTCGGCGCCTCAGCCATTCTGGCTGTCCCAAAACTGATGCACGGCTGCGGCTAGCCTCGGATAGCCTGTTGGCGCTCCCGGCCGGTTGACCCTCATACCTAGGTGACTCTCATACCTAGCTGGCTCTATATCCTGCCTAGTTGGTCTCACGCGATACTGTTATTGCAATTTATCGTTTTCCTTCAATGGAGGAGGTCACTATGCGCTCGCTATAAGTTCGCTGGGGAACCACTGTAGTGCCTGTGCAGTACAGATGAGCAGGTGCGTACCCTGCTAAAAGCATCGGGCTATCTATATTATCCATGCAAGTGCCCATGATTTTCCTATGTGGCATGTCCAAAGGCATTTGAGCTATTTGAAGAATGTAAGGTGAGTTTAAATATATTTTTGAGTCTGTTTTAGAATAGATTCCCATCAGCTTTGCAGTATGAATGAGGACTCGTAGGCTTCCTATATTTTTATATATAAGATATACATTTCTGTTCCAACGACGATCCATTGATAGTTCTGGCCAAAAGTGTCGCTTGCTCTTTTCTCCCACTAGATCAGCTAACCCAAGATCCGGCTTTCTGTGTGGCAGAAGCGGCTACAAAGCACAAGAAGACGAGCAAAGTAGGGGGGGACAGCACAGTGTAGAAAAGCGGTGACCTTTCTGTAGATGCGGAAGTAGGCCACTAAGAGCAAGTTCAGAAGAATGAACGTGGGTTTAAAAATGCCCCCTGAAAAGTTAGAAGCTCCAGTGATACACAACGCAATGAATCACTTACCCGGAAGGAGCCGGCTTTGCAGTAACGCGTTCATGCACCAGAGGTTGCTTTCGCTGAAGAAACAACACAAATCCTTGCCCTGTTGTTCAACCAAGTTTGTTTCATTAAGCAATTTGAGTTTTGTAAGATCAGCATACAGGGGCTGAGCATACATCGCCCGTCCAGGGTCATGCGCAAAGCATGTTGTAGCGCAGCTCTAGAATGTAGCCCACAAATTACCTTCGAAGCCAGATACTTCAGAGAACGTTTCGTGATGTCATAAGTAAAACTAATCACCTCACCATATAAAAGAGCTAATGCTGTGGCAATAAGACCTAGCGTGTTTTCAAGATAGGCCTGCATTTTGGGGCTTGCAAGAGACGCTGAAGCTGCTGCGTGTAGCATCACCACGCAGCGATGGAGAAAAAACGAGAGATAAAATATGTCTAGTGTCGAGTAAGCTGTGATATGTAGAAACATTTGTAGTGAAAGAGATGCAGGGCTACTCATTGCAAAAGGTATGCTAAGCTTCAGGTGGCCTGAACATGACTCGGGAATTCCTTAACGAAGCAAGTGGAGACATTCCTCAGTCATAATTTAATCATAAACGCCATACACATCTCATCGTGCATTTTTGAACTATGTTTGTGCTCAGTTCGACATGTAGGTATTAAGGCCTTGGTCGGCGCATTCGCCCAGCATAGAGTGTCTCCAGAATATCGTATCCTGTGCATATTTAGCTGCATGAGGCATTGCCTAATTTAATACAGTATAGCAGGCACTGTATGGCCTAGCCTGGCCTACAAAACAGCCGGACTGGACAGTAGTCATACAGCAGCTTGTATGGGTTCTAGTTCGCGAACAAGGTATCGCTATGGATGGGCATCCGCCATACTTACTGTGGGCGTGATAGATGTAGAGCTTCAGCATATGATTTTCCAAGCTGATCTGTAGCATCAGATGATGCGAGCATCATACGGTAGTAGCGCGGTAGAGTCCACTATTTGCTCTGGAAGGCTTCCTTTTGCTTGCCTAGGTGGCCGCTTATTGTAGTGCGCAGGCACTACAATGGGACTTGCTGTTGACCTATAGTGTAGTGCACAGCGCCTACTGCTGCGACTACGCTGCTACCTGTCCCCTCGAGTAGGTGCCTATGATAAGAGTGTAACTTTGGCGCATTTCCTTGAAACAGTAGCCCAAATATAACGAAATACAGTTATTTTTGGTTGTCCAAAATCTGTTATTTTGAAATTCTCCCCCACTCGGGGTTCTCGCCTCCTAGGCCCTGTGGGGAGGAGGCCTGCACTGGTGCCAGCGCTACCGCCAGCCCCAGTCTCCACGTATTTAAGGGCCCCTCTAGTGTATGCATGTTAATTCGCAGACAAATTGCCTTACTTTGATCCTAGTGAGAGGGTCCTGTCCTCGTTCAGTGATTCGACCTCTTGTAGTTCGCTAGCCAGCTATCTTCTATAAGTCACCAGGAAGCCCTATTGTAGTGCCTGTGCACTACATATAGAGGATAGCTAACTGAAGGCCTATAAGCAGTTAAGAGGTTGAGACGCGGATTGAGCGCTGTAACCTCTTACTAGTGAACTAGAAATGCAATTTATTAACAAATTCACATGTATAAACTAGAAATGCGTGCGAATGCTCTAAGATTGGGGCTGCCGATAACGCCGGCGCCGGTGCGCGTTATCTACACCGGACCAGCAAACGAAGAACGATAAAAATGACTTTTTATGAAATATGGTTTGGAATAGTTGAAATAAACGCTCTTTTTAATAAATTGATAGACGATACGCAACCGATGCCTCGGTAGTAGAGAAGATTTCATCGAACGCCAGAGTTCAGGGTTGTGCAGCATCGTAGACGCTGTAGAGAGCGCAGTGTACTACGTTTGGGGACCGTTCCGGGAATCAAAAAACCATTTTCCCCGGACCTGAGGGTAGAAATACTTTGCTTTAATAATTCGCAGCTAGATATTTTAGCTGAGTAACGGATGCACCTACGCAACGGACACCTAGTCGGACCTACGCAACAGGAGACTTCTACAATGTCAGTAAACAAATTGCCCAGTGGAGCCACCAACCCAACCTCGACATGTTACGCCGAAACCCACTGCGGCAGAGCGGGCGCACGGGCATAAGGAGACACCCCAGCAGGTGGCACCTATAGCAAATGTTAACGGCATGCTAGAGAACAGTCCGTACATCACGTGGGACCCATTCCACTCTGCGGTGACTGTGATAGAGAATGTTATAGCTAGGTCTAGAGAATTGAGTGCAATGTCACCGATGCTCCCTGAAGACGGTAGTACTATGCAGGCCTTTTTGATGCGTAAGGAACGACGGTACATCCAGATGGGAATGGGGACCAGCAACTGGGGGAACGCACCTATCGACCGTCTTGTGGGTCCGGCTCTAACTTATTGGATGTACCTACAGCGAACTATCGACCTAAGCGACTGGGCGACTGCACAACGCCGGCTTCTGGAATGCTTCGACAAAACAATGTCGCAGAGTCAACTGCTGACGGAGTTGGCTATAGTACGGTGGAATGGAAACACTAAAGAGTATACGGACCAATTTGCGGCTGTAGCGGAGCGTGAAGTTGGGGTCGCCCCCGACGAACTCGCTGACTCCTACTGCGCTGGGCTACCAACTGACCACCATCTTCTCATTAGAAATAATGGGCTGGTGAAGTATACTTCCTGGGAACAAGCGGCGACAGCAGCAGCGCGACTCTATGAATCTATGCAGACCGTGCTAGAGCTACGAGAAGGGGCTAATCAAGCCATAAGAGCTGCTACTGAGGCAACTGAAACTCAGCGGAAGCAGAAAAATGGAACTAGGCCTGGAGAAAACACCGGGAGCTGCTACGAGCGCCAGGGTCGTGGACACCCGGCACGAGTTTGTCCCAGCAAAGAGGAACGAACCAAGCGCCCGGGAGAGACCTGCAAGAAGTGTGGAGGTCTGGAACACTATGCTCGTGATTGTCCTACACACCACCGAGGCCGTGCCGAGCCGGAAAACAAGAGCAGTAGGCAGCCTATCCATCGCAGCACTGAGAAAACCGAACGTTTAAACTGCGAGGTCTAGGCGTGGTTGGAGACGAGCGTTCTAGGCCTCGTAGCCATGGCAAAGGGATGATGTGTCCGGTAGCGACAGGACCTAATGCCATTCCAGTCTCCCTGGAGCGGGGGAACCGCCTCCTCAAGACGGTGGAGAAAAACAAAATGAGCGATGAGGTCGTGCAGGGGACTCAGCCGGTTGGAGTCTGGCCCGGCGCCGCTGCGGAGAGAGGAGGCTCCGAGCGAGAAGACGGATAGCAGCGGTAAATCTGCAGAAGCGACAGAAGAAGACTGCAGGCAAGAAGCGATAGAGACTATGCCGCACTGATGGCGGGAAACTAGTGCGAGGGAATTTTGCAACCAAGGAGGAGCCTTGTGTTACGCGGGTGCAACAGCGGTACTTCGCATTGAGCTTGCAGGAGCTTCATGCGAGGCGCTTTTAGACACAGGCGCTTCGAGAAGTTTCATTAACCCTAAAACAGTCGAACGATTGCAGCTGAGGGTGCGGAGACATCCAGAAGACCATAGGTTCACTGTAGCTACAGGTGAACATTTATGCATTGATCGAGTTGTGACGGGATTGACGATGTGGTGTGGACACGCACGCTTTTCCGGGGACTTCTTAGTGGAACCCGTTCCCTATGACTTAGTCTTGGGTTTGGATTGGCTGCCTGAACATACAGTGGCCTGGTATTTTCATCCCGACAAGCTCCAGACCTATGTGAACGGCCAGTGGTGCGAGTTACCGGTCGTCAGGACGGGTGAAGAGACACTGCAGGGTGACAGTCACATAGTAGCACCTCCAAGGACTCCTGCGGAGCAAGCACATGGCTAAGCAAGTGGCGGGTATGTCAGCGGAGGACGCCGCCATATTCCTACGGCTGCCACGTAAAACTTATAAATCCCATGTGAAGACTATGGCGAAGGCACGGATAACGTCGCTTGTTCACCAGGCGGCCGCCGACGCAAAGAATCTCAGGGCAGCATTGCACGGTTTGCATTACATCGTGGCTTTGCTCGGCGCTGGCTCGTCAGTGGCACTGAGGTTCACGGACGAGTGGCAAGGCGCCCTTTGCTGCGTGTTAATCGAGAATCGGCCCAAAGTGTAGTACACTGCGCTCTCAGCAGCGTCTACGTTGCTGCGCAACCCTGAACTCTGCTATCCAATGAAATCTCCTCTATTACTGACGCATCTGCCGCGTAACATCTACCAAATTATTAAAAAGTCCGTTTGTTTCAAGTTCTGAAAACCATAATTTTTTTATGTCGTTTCGTATCGTTCTTGCTTTGCTTGTCCGGTGGTAATGTGACGCGCACTGGTGCCGGCGTTGTCGGCAGCCCCAATCTTAGAGCATCCGCACGCATTTCTAGTTTATACATGTTAGTTTGATAATGAATTGCATTTCTAGTTCACTAGTAAGAGGTTACAGCGCTCAATCCACGTCTCAACCTCTTAACCGCTTATAGGCCATCAGTTAGCTATCCTCTATAGGTCACCAGCAAGCCCCATTGCAGTGCCTGCGCACTACATTTCCTCTATAGGTCACCACCAAGCCCTGTTGTAGTGCCTGCGCACTACAGTATCTATATGCATGGCTGGCAAATATTTGTCCTTGCTGAGGACTCAAAAGGAGTTATTCTGTCCTCAGCCGCTAGCGGTCGCTTGACCGTTATGATTATCAAGCGCATTAATGAAAAATTTTTGGAATTGTTGTAATGCGCAGGCACTGCAATGGCGCTTGCTGGTGATATTAGGAGGGTACCTAGCTGGTCAGCACGCTGAACGAGCGCAGAAACTTCTTACTAGTAACGAAGTACGGCAATTTACTAGCAAGATAGCATGTGTAAACTAGAAGTATCTGCGAATATCCTAAGATTGTGGCTGGCGATAACGCCCGCACCGGTGCGGGACACCGCCCCGACCGGGGCAAGGAAACAAGTACTATGATCGGAGACTTTTGAAAGCTTCGATGCAGAGACTCGAATGACAACAGTTTATTGATGTTTTGATATTGCTTTATGACATATGAGTCAAATGTAGAGGAATTGCCAGAAGGGCCCCCTATTCGTGAGCCAGGCTCAGAGTAGGGGAATGGCAATGTTTGGATGAGAATTGTTTGAACATAATTTTTTCCAGGAGGATCCGCTCCAACAGATGCGGAAAGCCGCGTCCCAAGAAGCTGGGGATGCACCTGCGCAACGAATGTGTTACCGGCTTAACTCAACAGGAGACGTCAGCAGTGTCCTCAAACAGAGTGCCCAGCGGGCCAGGGGACCAACTCGTCATGCTACCCCGAATCTTACCGTAGCAGAACAGCCGCATGTGCATATGTAGGCGCCCCCGCATCTGACACCTATACCCAATGTTGTATGCCTGCGTGCAAACGGGCCGTACTTCACGTGGGACCAACTCCACTCCGCAATGCCTGTCATGATGGATGCTGTGTGGGGGCCCTGGGCATCGTACGCAACGCTCCCCATGCTTCCTGAAGATAGCCTCACTATTGAGGCCTTTTTGCTGCGCATCGAACGACGGTACACACAGAGCCCCGTAAGGGGGTGGTTGACCACCTTGTGGGCCGGGCCTCGACTTATTGGATGTAGTTGCGGCGAACTGTCGATCTATGTGACTCGGAGGCGGTTTAGCGGAGGCTTCTGGAGCGGTTCGACAGAACAACGTCGCAGAGACAATTGTTAACGGAGTTGGCTAAGGTACGGTGGAAAGGCAACTCTAAGAAGTACACGGACCAGTTTGCGACTATAGAGGAGCGTGGCGTGGGGGTCATTCCCGAAGAACTCGCTGAATATTGTTGCACAGGGTTACAAACGGATTTTCATCTTCGCATAACAAATAACGGGCAGGTGGAGTACCACTCGTATGAGCAAGCGCTGACAGCCGCAGCGAGACTCTGCGAGCATAATCAGGCCGTGCTAGAGCTGCGAGAAAGGACCAATCGAGCCATCAGAGAGGCTGTCCAGGCAAGTGGACCCCGTAGAAACCACGGAAAAGAAAACCAGACTGGGGGGAAACCCGGGAAGTTCTATGAGCGTCAGGGTCGAGGACACCCTGCACGAGTTTGTCCCAGCAAAAGAGAACGTACCAAGCATCCGGGAGAGACCTGTAAGAAGCGTGGCTCTGCTCGGGACTGTCGTCTATACGACTGAGGCAGGAGTGGAACAGAGATCCAGAGCAGTGGACAGCCCACCCGTGTCAGCGCTGAGAGGTCTGAATGTTTAAACATTAGGGGTGACGCGGTCGAAAACGAATACTCTAGGCCACCTAGCCATGGAGAAGGAGTGATATTGTAATGCACAGGCACTACAATAGGGCTTGCTGGTGACCTATAGAATACAGCTAGCTAGCGACCTACAAGAGGTCGCAACACTGGAGGAGGACAGGACCATCTTACTAGGATCAAAGTAAAGCATTTTGTCTGCGAATTAACATGCATACACTAGAGGTGCCTGACAATGCGTGGAGACTGGAGCTGGCGATAGCGCCGGCACCAGTGCAGGCCTCCTCCCCACAGGCTCGAGGAGGCGAGCACCCTGAGTGGGGCGGATTTGACGATAACAGATTTTGAACAACTAAGAATTGCTGTATTTCGATATATATAGGCTACTGTTTCAAGGAAATTGGCCAACGTTAGGTGCCGATCATAGGCCCCTGCTCGAGGGGGCAGGTAGCAGCGTAGTCGCAGCAGTAGGCGCTGTGCACTGCATTTGGGGGCTGCTCCGGGAATCGAATCTTTGTTCTTTCCGGACTTGGGAGTAGAAATACAATGTTTTAATGATTCACGCCTAGAAATCTTCGCTCGGTAAGGGATGCATCTCCGCAACGGACGCGTTATCGGTCCCACCCCGCAGGAGACTTCTACAATGCCAGTGAGCAAAATGCCCAGCGGGACGCAGGCCCATCATCGCCATGCTACTCCGAAGCCCACCATGGCAGAGCGGCCGCATGAGCATAAGGAAGCGCCCCCGCAGGCGATACGTATGACCAATGTTATACCAAGGAACAGTCCCTTCGTCACCTGGGACCAATTCCAGTCCGCTATGAGTGTGATAAGGACTGTTATTGGGGGGACCGTGGAATCGGGCGCAACGATTCCCATACTACCAGAACACGGCAGCACTATGCAGGTCTTTCTGCTGCTCATCGAACGCCGGTACACCCAGATGGGATTGGAGCCGCGCGAGTGGGGAAATGCAGTTATTGACCACCGTGTGGGCCCGGCTCTAACGTACTGCATGTATCTACGGAGAACTATCGACCTAAGCGAGTGGGCTACGATATAGCGCAGACTTTTGGAGCGGTTTGACAAAACAATGTCGCAGAGTCAATTGTTAACGGAGTTGGCTAAACTACGGTGGAGTGGTAACCCGAAGGAATACACGGACCGGTTTGCGGTTGTGGCGGAGCGTCCTTTGGGTGTTGCCCCCGACGAACTCGATGACTATTACTGCACCGGGCTACCGAGGGACCTCCATCTTCAATAACGGACAGGTGAAATATCAGTCGTGGGAACAAGCGGCGACAGCCGCAGCACGGCTCTACGAGCCCAAGCAGAGTGTGCTGGGGCTACGAGAAAGTACCAGTCGAGCCATTAGGGCTGCTATGCAAGCTAATGGACCCCGTCAGCGCCAGGAAATTAAAAATCGACCTGCGGGAACCCACGTGAACTGCTTTGAGTGTCAGGGTCGCGGACATCCGGCACGTGTCTGCCTCAGCAAAGGGGAACGTACCAAACGTCCGGGGGAAATATGCAAGAAGTGTGGCGGTGTGGAACACTATGCTCGGGACTGTTCTACGTATGAACGGAGCCGGCCCGAGCCGGCGGATAAGAGCAGTAGGGAGCCCACCCGTCCTAGCACTGAGAAGACGGAACGATTAAACGTGCGGGCCTAGGCGTGGGTGGAGACGAGCGTTCTAGGCCGCGTAGCCATGGCAACGGGATGATCTGTGCGGTAGCGACAAGCCCTAACGCCATTCCAGTCTCCCATGAATTGGGAAATCAACTCCTCCACACTGCGGGAGGAGCTTATAAGAGCGATGAGCGCGCGGAAGGGACTCAGCCGTTTCCGGAAACGCGGCGGGAGTCTGGGTCGGAGTCGATCCTGAGTGAAGAAACTCTGGACGCGACGATGAATAGCAGCAGGAAGTTTGCAGAGGCAACAGAAGACGGCTATAGGTCAGACGTGACAGAGATTGTGCCACACTGGTGGAGGGAGACTTCCACGAAAGAGTCTTACGATCA